AAAAATCATGAATTTATAAAAAAGATAATACTGAATGTGTCTCTATTTTTTTCCCACAATTAGCTGAGGATGGCTCAACCTATGATTTCAATGAAGTGCAGCTTGCATTTTCTACTAAACAGTCCAGCATAAATGAGCAGCTCAAAATCATTTATTTAAAAAATTCCTCTATTGGGAGTCTAGCCGTGGATAACTCGTCATAGACCGGGTAGCATAATCATGAGGTAGGGGAATAGCCAAATGGGAGTCGGGAGACCCAGGCGATAGTCTCAGCTCTTACAGGACTAGTGTAACTTCAGACAAGTTGTTTAATCTCTCAAACTTACTTTTACTAAATAGCATATTGAGGGCATTGGATCGGACGCTGCTGAAGATTTTTGTCTCTAAAATTCTACGACTTTATTAAGTGTTTACTGCAGGCAAATCACATGGGAGGTGTTTAAATACATAAGGATGAGCACGTGGTACTTGGCCCAAGCAGTCGGTGGGCTTACTGACACGTAAACGGGCTTAATTTCCAGAAGGCACGAAAGTCTGGACAGAAATGATTTTATTAAGTAGATGTTTAAAATCTGAAAGTACACTGAAAATTCTGTGTTGACCACTTTTAAGTCCTTTGAATAGGTTGCCTTAAAGTTAGCACTCTGCTGCACTTGAATTCTGTGGGTGTAACATTTCAAATGCAGGACGGCACAGTGGGGAGAGTGTGGCTTTTGGTGTCAGTGAGACCTCACCTTTTTCACTGACCACAGTGTTCCTGTGGACAAGAGAAAGTACCTCTTTCAGATCCATTTCATAATCTTTCATAATCATTTTTATAATCTTTTAATAAAGAAAAAGGTAAAATCAATCCTCTCTTTGACCCCAAGTCTATTCCCTGAAGATAACTAGGATGGCAATTACATTCAAGTTTTTGATGAGAGCGTCCCAGGATTTAAGTTCTGCAAGGAATTAATGAATGAAATAAGCTAAAAATGATGTTTACTTTCATCTCCCTACATGTGGAGCACGCCGGACTTTCTCTTGTATTGTTTTAAGAGTCCTTTTTCTTCCCCGCCTCTCCTCACAATCATTCAAATGAAAGATTCAAATGAAACTCTTCCTTGTGCCCTCCTTTCCAAGTACTCAGCTGTGATGCGCCTGCCATGCTCTCAATGTCCATATCTTTACTGTCCTTTCTTACAAGATCATATCTTTCCTGTAAGATCTTACTTTTCCCATAAGACTGCAAGCACCTTGATCTTAGTTTCATGCAACTTTGTAACTACATACAGTATCTAACATTGCCCCGGCCACATACTCGATAAATGCTTGCTTAGTTAATAAACACAGTTGTAAAAGTTGGCAAAATATTTGAAAACACTGGAAAAAAGCTGGTTTTATTTTGAAGATGTAAATTTCTAAGTCATATTTCTGAAAACAAAACCATTATCCATTCTGGGAAAACATTAAACTTGAGCCACATATAGGTTTTCAGGAGACCTCTCAGGAGTCACCTCTGACAAAGGATGTGGACACATGGGAGAGAGGGAGAGAAAGAAGCTCTGCTATCAGAACCTGGCAGCAGTTTGAGCTGCCCCGCCCTGAGCCCATCCTTCATAAACTCACAAGAATAGGAATAAAGACGGAAATGTTGCTTATGTTTTTCTTTTTTTCTTTCTCAATAAACATGAACTGAAATTTTCAAAAAGTACTAGCTTAACATAAAAGCTTCTTCATAAAGCAAGCTTGAGATCACAGTCAGGAGCAAGGCGGCTGAGCACTGTCACCACGCACACACTAAAGCAGTGAGTCAGGCACAGAAGGGATGGCCCAGCAGGCACCACGAGGGTTAGGTGCACAGTCACCCCTGCACATGCCGCTGCTCCATCTGGCCCCACCTCAGTCCTTCTGCAGCCTGTACCAGTGTGTCACAGGCCACTTTCAATCTAAATCTTGTTCTAGATTAATAAGCAAACATTTTCTTGCTTATTATGCAATTTATCATGATGAAAATTACATTGGACTCCTCAAGGCTACAGGCTGATACATTCATTTATTCAGAGCTGTGTAAAGAGAGTTATACTAATCTTCATGACAGAAAAGGATGTAATAGCAAGATTTAAATTAGCCACTGAAAACTCAGAGTATTTGTGTCTGTGGACATACTCCATGCAGATAAAAGACGGCATGTCTTTACGTCTGCTGATATAAGCTTCATGTAAACTTATTTAAGCACAAAATATTAAATGGCTAGCCTGAAATAAAAACCCATCGCTTCTCCAAGGCAACAAAACAAGATCGCAAACTATTGAAATTGTGTTTAGATCAGATTTGAAAATAGGCTATAAAATTAGGTCACAGCAAAAGTCTGGACAGTCAAAAGCGTTAAAGGCTCCTCAAGGTAACCAGCAGGTGTGCTAACAGAAGCCACACGGGTGACTCTGGAGGCTGTCCACGGCAGCTACAGCCAAGGGGAGGGCAAAAGCTTGAAAATACGTCTGGACTTTGCACAGAGGCCAGCTGCCTCTTACTGCTGCTGCCAAGTCATGGGCTCACATTTCCTCCTAATCCTTAAAGTCAATTGAGAACCTTCAGGCCTCCTGTATCCAGAAACTATCCCAGCTGCCACTATGTCCAAGTGTTCATTCTAGAAATGGGCATCCCTTCCCTGCAGAACACTGGGACAGTAATAACGGAAGCACCGTCCATACTAACACCATCCATTCACTCTCTTAATATGTGCTAGGTCCTCTTCCGAGGACTTTGCAAATATAAACTCATTGAACATATGCCTTATGAGGTAGGTGTTTAATTAGCCCCATGATGTACATGGAACTGGGGTGAGAGGAGAAGTAATTTGCTGCAGAACTTACAGGTAGGGAGACCAGAGGTGAAGTTGAGAATAGGAGAGGGGGTGCTGCTTAGTTTGGAACGAATACCTGTTCCTGACCACTCAATCTTGGGACTTTGGGCTGGCAGTGCCCAGCTCTCCAGTCCAGCCTTCAGCTGCTTCTCTGGTCTCCACCTCCTGAGCATAGAGCAGCCAGCACCCACGACAGCAAAGCACACTAAACATGAAGCAACTTGGGATGTGAGAGAGGCAACAGGGAAGAAAAGGGCAGAGAACTCTAGTTTTTTAAAAGGTTAACAATGATAAGAATGAAATGCCAGTTACTGAAAAAAAATCAAAGGGGTGATAACATTTACAGGCAGACCTTGAAGATACTGTGGGTATGGTTCCAGAGCACCACACTACAATGAATATTAAAATAAAGGGAGTCACATGAATTTTTTAGTTTCCCAGTAAACACACAAAAACCATGTTTACACTATCCTGTAGTCTATTAGGTGTGCAATAATAGCATTATGTATTTTTTTAAGTCCATATTTTAATTAAAAATGCTTTATTGCTAAAAAATGTCAAACCAATTTAAAAAATAACATCAGAGATCACTGATTGCAGACAACCATAAAAAATATAACAAAGTAAGAAAGTCTGAAATATTGCTACAATTACCAAGATGTGACACAGAGTCATGAAATGAGCAAATGCTGTTGGAAAAATGGCGCCAATAGACTTGCTCGATGCAGGGCTGCCACAGACCTTTAATTCGTGAAAAAGCAAAACAAAAACACAGTATCTGTGGAACGCAATAAAGCAAAGTGTAATAACGCAAGGTCTGCCTGAACATTAGAAGAGGCACCATGGGACAGGTCAAGAATCTCTACCATTAGGAATTCACACTCAACTAGGATGACGACACTAAAAAAGCAACAGTAAACTGCTGGTAGGAACAGAAAATGGTGCAGCTGCTGCGGAAAACAGTTTGGTGGTTCCTCAGTAGGTTAGACACAGAATTACCACGTGACCCAGCAATTCCACGTTTAGCTATCTACCTAAGAGAAATGAAAGCAGGTGTTCAAAGACTTCTACAGGAATTTTCATAGCAGCTCTCTTCAAAACAACCCAAATGTCCATCAACAGATAAACAGAGACAAAATGTGCTATATCCACAGAAAGGAATAGTGTTCAACTATTAGAAGAAGTGAAGTATTGAAAAACGCTACAACATGAATGAATCTTGGAATCAGTATACTAGGTGAAAGAAGCCAGACACAAAAGGCCACGTACTGTGTAACTCCACGTACATGAAACGTCCAGAATAGGCAAATTCATAGAGACAGAAAGCAGACTGGTGGCTGCCAGGGGCTGCTGGGAGGGAGAGTATGAAGTGACTGTGCAATGGGTATGGAGTTTCCGCGGTGGTGATGGCTGCATAACGTTTTCAAAGTACAGAATGTCACTGAATCGTCTACTTTAAGAGGGAAACAGTGGTAAATTTCATGTTCTATGTGTATGATATCACCGAAACAAAACAAAACAAAACAGACTTCCTCCAGGAACCAGGAGGCTGAGTTCTCAAGTCAATACTAACCTCTATCACCACCCAGATCTCCTATTAGGAGCTGCCTCAGCTCATCTTCCTAGCCCACTACTCGCATCACTGCTTCCCTGGACCACTGCAACCTCCTTACGGCTGATCCTTGACTGTGTGCAAATGAAAACTCAATAAAGTTGATTTAAAAATTAACATGAGTGCAAAGGAATAATTCTTCAAACTATGTGGTCATGTATTCTATCAGTAAAACATTTTTGAGTATATATATATATATATATATATATATATATATATATATATTTATAATTTGCCTTAAATATAGTATGTCTATACCATTATTAGCTGATACATCTTGAGGCACAATACATATAAATTTAAAATTATGTCACGTAAGTCACCCACTGTCTCAAAGCTAAATCCCAATTATGTTAAAATGACAAAAACATACATCCCTTTCATCACCTATTTCCAATATTTCATATTCTTGAGATATTGGTCCACATTTTTGTCCATTAAAAACACTCAATTTGTAAAGAGTAATCAATCACCTCTGCTCAAACCAAACCAACCCAAAAAACAAAACCAACAAAAACCGAATGAACTGAACTGAGCACGTACTTGGCAAGCTGCTTCTCGGCGTCAGCACAGAGTTCGAGAAGCCCCATCAGGACAGCAGACACGTCCATGTAAGGCTCCCAGACTGTGAAGCCACGTCCGATCAGATCAATGGCTGTTCTTCGGACAGTACTGTGTGGAGGAAGTTTGGGGCTTGGTGGCTGCAGCAGAAGAAATGTCAGTGCCTTACCTGCAATTACAAAATAAAAGGCAGAGCAATAAAATAATTTTACTTCTGTGAACTTTTCTTTAAAGTATATTTTCAAAATATAAACCACTTTGGATTTACTTTTTTTTTAACTGAAAAGGGGTTTTTATGAAAGGTTTCTCAAGTTTAGTTTGTTCAACCATATACTTTAAAAAGAGAAGGTAGGCTACAATATTTTACACCATATTCTAAAGTGTTGTAATTACATAATAATTATATATAAATAAGTATATACAATTAAAAACATTCTGGTGATTCTAAACTTCTAAACAATGTTTCTCCCTACTCAGCATTCTGCAAAATGGAGATGGTTTCAAATAGCATAACATGCTATTTCTTCTTCTTCAAATGCATCTAACAAAGTTCATACGTCAAATACTTCTCATCAGTGACACTTCTCATCACGGCAACGTTTATCAATAGGGATGAGGGACGGAGAAAGTAGAATGTGTAGTTTGAAAAAAGTCTCCCCCACAACCCCAAGCATCTCTGTTCCTCCACATCCTGGTGCACTGAGGCACACAGTGATGTCAAGTATGTGGTAAATCCTTCACACAAGTTTGTTACACAACTTTTAAAAATATGACTTCTAAATCTGGCGAAGTGATCTAGATTTTAATGAATACGTATGCCTTTACGTATTCGTACTAGCAATTTGTATATATAAACCTAATGGCTATTAAGCTGCAAATGCTCATCTACTTCAAAAGGCATTTGACATTTGGGAAAAAAAAAACCCACTGGGGATTGTGAAGAGTACACTGTAATTCAGAAGAGGTTTTTTGTTTGTTGAAGGGAAGAAAGAGTTTATAAGTCATATTACTGACCAGCATACTGGTTAAGGGGAACAGGCTTCAGATTCAAGACAGAGTATTTCTCAGTTTTATAACATCTTAGGGGGTGGGCTTAGGAAGACACTTAGAGAGCCTCAGTTTCCTTATCTGTAAAATGGGGGTAACTCTCGCTCAGGAAGAGCCTGAGTGCTAAACGAATTAATGTATGCAAGGTATATTGTCAGGTGCCCCCATCAACACGTGTTCAATGAATGGCAGTCAGGGCTCGTTCTGAACAGCATGCTGAACTTGTCTGTTTTCAAAATTAAGAACACAGCATATAAACTTAAATTGAAAGCACTCAACAAATAAAAGCATTTACTTATTTTTATGTTTATGTAACGGAGGTGACAAGAAGAGAAGGATACTGTACAGTTGGGGTAAGAGTCGGTGAATGCGCTCTCAATTAGTGGTTCTGAATTTCTTCTCAGAGAACCCTTAAAGGTTCTAATAGAATGTTTTTAAAAGATTAAAGAAAAAAAAAGAATCTGTTGAAAGCCATCAGTCCTGTCCTCAGGAAACGATTACACATACATATCCAACAAATTCTGCAGAAGAATTTCAAAGAAGTCTTGGACCTTGGATTAACAAAGTACTGTAGTCGACTAAAAAGGTACACAATTATGGAAAGCCTCCTTGAGAAGTTCATACTTCATTCATTCATGTATTTGAAAAATTTATTCTCATACTTAGCCATGTAAATATACTATTTAAAGCTGCAAGCTTTGAGGATCATAAAAATGTAAACCCCTTACAAAAGTTTCCACTGTTCCCTATTTTCCACCAGATGCGTCCCTCGTCACACGTTATTTTTAAGTACAAGCATCTCTGTGCACGTCCCTCCTCCTCAGCAAGTCTGTTCGTTCTTTGAGGGTAGGAACTATGTTCTGTATGACTTAGCGTCTCCCAAACCACCAAGCACAGTGCTCTGCACACAGTGTGGACCTGAAATGGAAAATAGAGCTGCCTTTCCTGCGGGTACATTTCCAATGCGGCTCCTGGTGCCGGTCTGTCAGAGTGATAGTTCAAAATGCTGAGGAATCTCCCACTCTCCTGATATTCTTGACTTCCAGGAAGTCGTAAGAGCTGCGGGGAAACCTCCACTGCTGCTCTCTGCGGACATCCTGAATGGCAACGGCAACGGCTCCCGATCTAAGAGACAGGGCTCCCTGGAGGTGGGTCCCTGGTAAGCAGTATTGCAGAGGGGACGTCAAGTGTCCTAAGCACAGTGTTTCACAGCTTTTCAATCATTTTCCTTCACTGCTCTCTACCATTTCTGTATTCATTACCAGCAGGGCATTCTGGCATCCTAGGGACCTTACTGGCTTCTCACGGACTTTGCAGTGGGAACTCCAGAGGCACCTTCCTCACCACTCTGACAATTTTATCCTGAGAGCAAAAATAAAACATAAGTGGCCAATGTATTGAGATTTTCCATCATTTTTCTGACAAAGTGGGATGGGCGGCTTTGGGGATGTGGTCACTTGCCCTCCAACGCAATGACAGAAAAGGGGAAAATCAGGAAGGCTTCTCTGAAAGACCCGGGCCCTGCAACGGCCCGCAGCATGCCTGCTGCTCCCTGCACGTGTGGTCCACCGGCACAGGAAGGATGCCCAGCTCCACAGGAAACACGGGTTCCCCAGAGCACCGCCACCCCTTCCTTTCTTCTCCTTCACTCGGGGATTTTAGAAGGAAAACTCTCCTGCGGCGTCTCTGGGTAACACACAGCACAGATCCCAAAAGCTCCGGCAGGGCAGTGTTGACAGTCTGGGGAGTCCATGAGTCGGGCATCAAGAGAAGCCGAGAGAAAAACGGCCTAATTGACACACAAATTTTAAATTTACTAGTAAGCACATGATTTCTTTTTTTCCCCGATGATCTGTTTTGGAATTACAGAAAAATGTGATCTGTTTCTGTTACAGATGAGATCACTGAGACCTGTGGGAGGCAAGTGGTTAGCTGCAGGGCTCTGTGGCCCAAGCCGAGGGTAATGTGACCGGTACACATCTCTGAACACAACTTACATCTTTACAACAACGTTTCATTCACGACACTCTACCCGTCTCCCCAAAACAGAAGATTAAATAATTTATACGTTTTATCTTATCTCACACAATGAGAAGACTGCCGTTACTGGTCCAGCAGCTAAATACAGCCCTACCAAGACCCCTGTAATGGTCTTGGCTTTATCTCAGTTGCATTGTGGTCACAAAATGGTTAAGTGCACATCCAGCACTGCATTCACCTTCAGGTAG